CTTTGTTTCTAATAAACAAAGAAAAAAAAGAGGGAATGAACTGATGTTCCTGAGGTCAGGGGGTCAGGAATTTTTCTCACCCCACATGCCACTGCCATTCTTGTTCACAGCCTTGTTACTTCCTGGATCGATCACTGCAACTCTCTTCTTTTTGGTCTTACTCTAAACTCCATCCACAAGCTCCAACGTGTCCAGAACTCTGCTGCTTGTATTATGACCAGGACCCCTTCTATCATCACATCCCTCCTGTCCTGCAGCAGCTTCATTGGCTCCGGGTCAAATATTGCATCAATTTCAAAATACTCTTGTACACATTTAAGGATATACATCATCTCTCCCCTCCATATCTCTCTGATCTGGTTCAGATCACCGTTTCATCTCAGTGTCTCAGATCTTCTTCTCTTTCTCTCTCTGTCCCCTCTCCCCATTTTGCCACTATGGGGTGCAGGGCATTCAGCTGCTCTGCTCCTTGACTCTGGAATTCCCGACCTCCTAATTTAAGAAATATCTCTTCCTTCTCTCTCTTTAAGTCCCAACTCAAAAATCACTGGTTCAAAATAACTCACCCCACATAACCTCTCCACTCTTGTTTTAAATTAGTTTTATGTCTTACGCTTTTATGATTGTGAAAACTGCTTGCTTTTATGCGCTTTTATTATTCTGCTGTATACAGTGTCCTTGAGTGTTTTGAAAGGCACTTTCAAATAAAATTTATTGTTATTATTACTATTATTATTATTGTCGTTGTTGTTGTTATTATTATTACCGCTTAGTTTTTTTTCTTGTGCACTTTGAAGGCAGCCAGATTTAGACTAAAGCTCTTTTTCCCCCACTTGGTAACAGCAGAAAGAACAAACACAGTATTCTTATTTTTAAGTGGGCATTTGTGATGCTTATTGACATCATATTTATTGGAACACCACTCTTTAATGATGATAGTAATCTACACAAAGAAAGAGGTGAGGTGAGGTAATATATGGGCCAAGAATACACTGCTTTAATGCTGAAGACAGCGGTTAACAGTGTTTAGTTAGTTTTGGGATGGGACAAACCATTACCAAGGTGCTGCTGCAGCACCGTAGACTTAAATAAATGATTCCAGAGGTCAGAACTAAGATGAAAATTGTAGTAGTAAAGGATACAAACTTTGTGGGAGCATCATTTGTGAGATGATGACAAAGTTGTTTAATCACTACCCAGTGCAGCTGTGAGTCTGTGTGTGAATTGAAAATGTATTATATAAAAACATCCATTCACTGCAGTGGAAACAGACGCAAATATAAGAAAAAGACATAAGAGCTGTTTGATGAACAAACTGTTCCCTGCTGTTAGAAACAGTCGATATAATAAAAGCTGTCAAATTCAAGTAATTCATTCTCACAATGTGGATTTTTTAATAGTATAATTTGGAAGAAAGGAATTTGCTAAAGGACAGACACGAATTAAAATAGTCTGCTTACTTAATTGTCCAATGTCTTTGTTGTGAATTTAAAACTTTTTATTCTGGAGTCCAAATTATTTTCAAAGCCTTCTACTAAGCAGCCAAGTCAATATTTCTAACATTGAGTCATTTGGATGGCAGAAGAATTAATGTTTGGGATTAGGTCCAGTTATCTAAAGTTGGGTGAGTGGGTGAGTTTAATCCATATCGGGAGAAATGGTGTTCCTGAAAAGGTGAATGTCAGGGAGTGATCAGGGGTTGTTGGAGTCAATAGAGATACCAGGAGAAATAGAATTACACACAGGGAACATGCGATGAGAGCAAGACTAACAACTAGCCCATTTACCACGCTGAGAGAGCTGATAGCTCCGCCCATGTGGGGCGGGGATGACGGCTGCCTTTTACCCACAGATCGAGGGTTCCTGTGACAGAGTGTGCGTGTGTTACTTTCACAAGGAAAAAAATGGTACACTACTCAAGTGTCATGTTCCGCGAGAGCATCTGGATTTTTTCAGGTGTGCGAGAGATTGCTGGTTCATCCTCCAATGTGGGGTTTTTGGCACCTCACCTGCTCCTCATCCAGGAACAACCAGAAGGAGGATTTTTAAACCAGCACTGCCTGCTTCTCATCACCAGTTCGTCGTTGCTACCTCTGGTAGTAATTTGGCTTCCCAGTGTTGAGTTCCATGGTCCTCTGTCCTGTATCTAATACTGCTCTCTGTCCTCAGTTCCTACCAGATTCTCCTCCTGTCAGTGCTGGTCCGAATTGCTCCAACTACTACAGTCAGATATCAAACTAAGGACTTCCATACTGACCTCATATTCACCTGACTGCCCTTCTGTGTATCGCCACTCCTCTGAGACTGGATATCCTCCTTCACTGTGCTCACCCTACTGGACACTCTCAGAGACACCTACCCCAGGATTCACCACCTGCAGTCTGCAAGTAAGCACACCCCACGGCAGTACCTACTCACCTCTGGTCATTCTCTTGCCTTCCTGCCCGGTAACCTCCCTCTCCTCTGTTGCAGAGCTCCCAGTTACTTTGCTCTCTGTGCACTCCCTGTGTTTTAGTGTTTCTCCGCTTTCAACCTTCCTCGGCTGTAGGTCCCCTGTTTAAGTTTCAGTTTCTAACCATGTTCTTGTTCAAATTCCCAATTATTAAATAAACCTTGTAAATAGTTCAACTCGTGTATTGAGTCTGCTTTTGGGTCCCATTCTCAAATTTCCACCAGTTCATGACATCAATAAAATAGAGTAGAATAGCCGTTTATTCCGCTCCACACCAACTGTACTAGAATAATATATATATGTATGATGTGCTGTAGTACTGGTAGCATGAAAAGGTTGCAAAGGTACGCCACCTCCTTCCATATGAAATTTTACGATGTTTTTACTAGAACAGGAGCTTGGCCGTTACAGGAGAACAGGCGTCAACCCAGCAGCAGGACCAGTATCTGCTCCTTTATGACCAATAGAACAGAAGGAGCAGTACGTACAAAACACCCTCCAGTGGACTACTAACATGCACGTGTCTGACCAAGCTGTCATAAACTGACTCCATGACAGTGACACGACTGAGGACCTGACATCCTTTAGTGCTGTGGTGCGCTCACAACCCAGTGCTGTTCAGCTCTGCCATAACTTTCAGCAAGGTTCAGAGCTGGTGAACCATTCAGATGCTTGATGAGCCCCCCATGTTTGATTGAGAATGAGCTTAATTACAGGCATTTTAACTTGTGACAAAATGTACTTGTGCCCCTTCGTCACAGGTTAGCGAGTTAGTGAAGAGTAGTGCTATATACAACTTTTTATGAATGTGATTAATTCTGTATTACTTTATGGGTTTCATGATATTCTGGTACTCACAATATAAAAATGAAATATGGACATCATATGATTAACATAAATATGATAATAGTGCACATAACGCAGTGGCAGGAATTATTTTCTTAACACTGCAAAATAGGCTCTTATCAAACTTAGGGTCATGGGGGGAGTTGTTGCTTATTCCAGCTGTCATAGAGTTAGAGGCAGGGTACATCCTGGACAGGTCACCAGTCCATCACAGGCCTAACACAAAGGGACAGAAAACCAAGATGCATGTCCTCCTTTGGACAGAGAATGTGAAAAATAGAACGAGGAAACGGTTATGTAAGCTAATGGTCAGTGGACATTAAATCACAGTATATCAGAACAGTTAGCTGCCAGCCGGTGGCCTTGTACCCGAACTCTCTCTGCCTCCTCCTCCATGTGTTTCAGTCGACATCGCATTGATGGCAGGTGTTACGTTTTGTGGCGCTTCTGTTATGAGTTCAACTGTTTTCCTTAGAATTCTCTATTACCTGTAATTCTCTCTGTAATTGTACACTTTGGGAACGCCATGTTTATGTTTTATTTTCTGCACCTATATTTGAGTATATTTCATGAAAGACAGAAAACAAACAGTAAATGGAATAAAATTTGAATACTACTTTTTAGATGTCATAAACTCACTGCCATTTCATTAGGTATACCTGTTCAGCTCCTCGTCAGCAAATATCTGATGACACAATCACACGGCAACAACTCAAGATGGCCTGCTAAAGTTCAAACTGGGCATCAGAATGGTTAAAAACGGTGATTCAAGTGACTTTGGATGTGGCATAGTGACTGATACCAGTGGGGCTGATCTAAGTATTTTAAAAATCTGATTGGACTTCCTGACTTCCAGAGATCCTCAGGATTTTCTATACAGGCGCTGTGGAGAGCATCCTCACAGAGAACATCACCATCACATCCTGGTTTGGGAACAGCTGTGCTAAGGACCAAAAAGCTCCTCAGAAAGTGATCTGTACAGCAGAACGCTGCTGCAGGATTGCTCTCCCCCCACTTCAGGACACCTACACCAGGAGATGCCAGAGAGCACCCATCCCATCCTGTCAACCAACTGTTCCAACTTCCTCAATCCGGGTTTAAGGTTCCGCATCCGATTAATGTTGGCGTGTTAGACTGAAGGCTGAAGTTTACTTTGTTAGTTATAAATATGTGACAGTGCATTTGAGCTCCTATTACAGAGTAGCGAGTAGTGTAACAAATTACTTACTTAACTTTTATGTAACTTTTTGGAGTAACAACCCCAATGCTGATGATTGGGTACGCATCTTCTGATGGCTGCCTGCAATTGCATGCGGCATCATGTCACAAAGGTGGAACCGCCTCAAACTGATTTCTTGAACATGACTCAAATGGCCTCCACAGTCACCAGATCTCAATCCAATTTAGGAACTTTGGGATGTGGAGGAACAGGAGATTCTCATCACTGATGTGATATGATCTCATCAATATAGACCAAGAAGAATTAAAGCAAAAGGGGTATAGCACAGTAATGTGTAAATAATGAAGTGGCATTTAAGTGTATGTGACATTTTTTTGATTATGAGAAAAGCTTTTGCCGTGAGAATCTGATATTGTGACACTATTGTCTTTTATTTTGAAAGCCCGTACCGGAAATGTGATTCCATGCGATTGTGAACTTGACAGTAGAAGTCAGCTGCGGGTAAATGATCTGTCCGCACATTCAGCTCAGTGGAAGCGAGCAGCGTGGATAGAGGACACCGCAGACTGGGCTCTTTTTCTCTCGCTATCGTTCATGGAATAAAAAAAATGTTTAAAGTTTTTTTTGTTTTTTTACCCGGATCAAAACTCTTAACAGGAGTTTAAATGAAGTGTTTTAACCCAAATTCCTCCTGTTAGGACAGCTCACTGGCTTCCAGCTGAGGAGTAAACATGAAAAGTTTGCTCTTTGTCACCTTGTGTCTGTCAACCTGTCCGTTCACGGTGAGTCTTTTTTTCTGTAGTGCTTCTAAATGATTCAGAAAACCGTTCACATACTGAAGACTTCCGCGATATAAGAAATTACACCGAGTATTCCCACAGTATCAGCTGATGCTTATATTTTATTATTGCACTCTTTGATGCTGATTAGCCTTCTGGTGGAGGAAAAGTTTGCGGTCACATTTCGCTGATAACATTGTTGTTATTAGATGTTCTTAAAGTTGTATGACAGGTTATCCTTCTTCGTGGTATTTTGTTGCCTTTTGCTGAGCGTGATGATTCGTGATTGTAAAGTTACGGTGTCAGCTTCATTCATTGTATGGTCTGTTCAATGTCACGAAGAGGTGTGAGAACGGTCACCAGCGCTCTAAGAGCTGAAGAATTATTTTCAGTTGAAATTATCTTTTGACTTGTTCACTGATGGGTAATTACTCATCGATTATTTCTCTAACTGCACCAATTAGTGGGGAGGAAGTCCGAACTGACATTACAGCAGTACGATTTGATACTTGTTTGATATTGAAACAAGAAAAGCGAGTGTTTTATGATGAACTTCTCTTTAACCTTTGACGTTTGATGTGTTAAGCTTTTTATTTTTTAATTTCGTGGAGTTTTTATGCCTTTACGTTTCCTTCAATGAATTTATATTTTCACAAGTTTTAGACAAAACAATTTCTTTGAAATAAGGTGGTTTCAGCTCAAATGAAGAATAATGTGACATTAAATCGATTTTATGCTCAGTAAGGTCATTGTGTTTAACCCGAGGTAATAAAAGGTGCTTCTTAAAGCTCAAACGATGATAAATGAATTGGCTAATGAACTGAGTTGGTATATTTTCATAGATTAACCATTAAATAACATTTCTGATGATGATAGCAGGTAATGTGAGTATTTGCTGGGTTAGTGACAGATTTCATGAAGTCATTTTTTTAAATAGAAGTGTGCTGGGTTTTTCTAATTAGTAGTTAATTGGCAAAAAATCTGATCAGGAATCTGGGGAATTATTAATAAATATTAATATTTGCAGACTTCTTCCTAGCAAAAATGATTAATCGTGCTTTTATGGGCATTTAATAATTAGAATAATCATTAATTGTAGCTTTAAACCTCATATCTGCTGAAGCTGTTTTGTAGAGTTTCATTAATGAAGATAATTTCTAGACATAATCTCTCACTTCATGTTGTTCTTTCTGAGGAATCCTCCAGATATTAACCCACTTTTTTTGCCTCTCATACATTATCTGCCCTTCTGTGTGGATCCACCCCGCAGGATAAACAGTGGAAGTGCGCTCTCGCTCTTTTCCCAGCAGCCCCCTCCTCCTTTGACTAAAAGCAGATGGAGCTGTAAAAATGTTCACATCACACAAAACAAATGCCACAGTTTAATCATCTGACAGACAAATGCTGCCACTCCAAATACACAACAGCTCCTCTCGCTGGGTTTTAGCTTCAACCTCTGATGGCTTTTAACGTGAATTTAGTTTGTTTTATTCTTGCGTCCTCACAATAATGAGTCCAAATAGAGTCACTGGAGCTTGGTCTAAATCAGTGTAGCTTTTCTCTAAATATGCAAACCTTATATTTATACATTACTGTGGGTGACTGATGTTATACATGACAGCTGAAAATGCAGCGATGCATTTAATGTATTTGGTGGGTTTTGAGCAAGTCTGTTGTTTTTTGCTTATAGAAACAGGATTTTTTTTGCATCAGTGCAATTTTGCATTTTCCTTCCCTTAAATAGACAAAAACGTCCTGCTTTAGCCATCATGAACTAGAGATCCAGGATATGTACTGCATCATAAAACATGTTGTCTGAGTTTAACTGGATCAGATTCATTTCAGTCTGATTTGGATTTGTGAAGCTGCAATTTGATTCTGAATAAATTGTTGACATAAAGCTGATTCTTGAGTCATAAATGGAGGGATGCACAACTTTCATGGTCTTACTTTAGTGTGCCAAACGAGTATCAGATGAAATATACTTAAACAAACCAGTAAATTGTGCTCATTCTTTCAGGGCTTTTGAGAAAACATTTTCATTTTTCATTCCACTTATTTACAGTTTGAACATTATGTTCACACTAAGAATACTCTCTGTTTTCACCCAATGTCTCCAGCTGTGGAGAATGACCTTGATGTTGCCAGGATAACTGTCCACAACTCTGCATGTGGTGCAGGTTGTTTTGGTAGCATTCAGGAAATAAGGCTAATCTCACAAAAACAAGAGGTGATGTAAAGTCAATTTAATCCACTTAGATTAAAAAAGTGAGCTATAAAGATTTTTTGAAATTATTCATAATTTATTAATTGAAATTTTTCCCCTCTTATCCATATGTTCTGGATGTGCCCTAGCCTTGAAGGATTCTGGACAGACATATTTCAAACCTTATCCCTAAATCTTGGATACCATATGGATCCTAATCCATTAGTTGTGCTTTTTGGCACCACTGGGGAGGCTGATGCAAGGTTGACCTCGTCACAGTGTGGCACACTCTCTTTTGCCTCTCTTCTGGCTAGATGTGCGATCCTACTAAGATGGATGGGTGCTCCTTTACCCACCCATGCGCAATGGCTGAGGGACCTTATGTACTATCTGAGCCTTGAAAAGATCCGTTATGCGATTAGTAATACCAGTAATAAGTTTTTTTGTGGGGATAATTCCTGAAGAACTTGTGAACCGACCTCCAGCATTTCTCAGTAAATCACCCCCAATACTGATAATGTAGATTTTCTTTCCTTTTTTTCTCTTTTTTTAAAATATTTATTTGTGTGTTTGTTTTATTTTGTTCTGTTTTGTCCTGTTGTATTTGTGGCGGTGTTTCTTGTTTTGGTTTTTGTTTTCTCAACCTGGCTTCAGGGATGGGGCTACTGTGTGGTATGGGTAGGGGGTAAACTGATAAAAGCAATTAAAAGATATGTGAATGCGTCATTAATCTGTATTCTATTATGTCAGCTCAAACAATCATTGAAATCTACTTGCTTGTCGTGTAATAATTCTGTTTGTATCTCTTTTTCTTTGTTGCTTCAATCTAATAAAAATATCTCTGAGAAAATAAAAAGATTTAATTATCAGTTAAAATCAATCAGTCCGGTATCACCTAATGCCAAAGTTTTTCTAGTTCCACTTCTAAAAGTGATGGTTATCTTCTTTCATATACAGTAAACTAAAGTGGATTGAAAATTATAATTGGATTAATGATTAATCAGTATATGAGCCACTAATGGAATATTCCTGGTTGTAGCTCTAATAAGAACTGAAGCTACAGATATCAACCTCACGAATGCTTTTCTCCTTCTGAGTAAAAATCAGTTCCTTTGAATTAAATATGTTGGTTGTATGGATGTTAGGTTTGTACAGAATATACAGTGAGCAGATAAACACGGACATCAGCAGTGGGAAAAGAAAGTAAAAACAAGAAGCTGACATCGACTTAGAATCAATACACCAACGTGACAGATGGAAAATTCAAGAGAATAATAAAGAGTTGATGAGGTAGTATTTCCTACATTTCCTCATACTGTGCGTGTCTCTCAGTAGCCTCAATGCACGAGAGAACAGCAGGGACTCAGGTGTGAAGGCCACAGTGGTATATTAAGCTCATCTGTCTGGACTGCAACATGACTGGATCCAACCAGGGATATTTACCCTGGGGTGCAAAAAGTCGTGCTATAGTCTGATGAGAGTTCATCCTCGTAGCAGAGGAGGACTCATTTAGAAAACTTTTGCACTGCAGGTTTTCCAACTTCATCTCATTTCTGTTGACATTCTTTTATATTATTAGGAAAAAAACACAAAACATCAGGGAATTTTTTTAATGCTGGGTGAGCAAGTAATGTTTGGATATATCCAGCTCTAATACGCCCATACTTTGCAGAGAAAAGCCGTAGAAGACGAGATCAAAGCCCACACTGTTTGAGTGACAGATGGTGTTTGGCAAGCGTGGAGCAGAAACATAATGAAGCTTGTAAAGATGGAAGCTGAAGATGAAAATAAAAAAAAATATCACAAGCCTTTTTCTTTGGGATAATTTCTCAGAGCTAATTAAGAAACTAAGGAACGTGGGGAATAAAGTATCAGAACTGAAATCCCTCGCTGGTGTTTTATGTGAAGCTGATTTTCCCTCAATCAGCTTTCACAGAATCTTTTGACCGAATAATGCAGTTTTTTCCAAGCCGCCAGCGTGTCTCACAAGATGTCCTTTGGTCGTGGCACATGACACACTGGGTTAGCACTGTAAGACGTGCCTGTCACTCCCAAGTCTGTCAGTTTTCTCTGTGCAGGGATGCTATTATTGAAGTGTTTTAATCCAGTCCACAATCTTTTATCAATCTAACCCTAATGAAGTAGCTTTTAGTCAAAAAACCTAATAAAGCGCATTTCAGCACCTAAACATCAAGGAGCACCTTTCATTACCTACACTCTTAGAAGGGATGTGTTAAAATTGACACATCATGTGTTAAATTTTAACACATGTGCTGCATCAGATTAGGGACAACACATGATGTGTCA